CTCTACTACTACTTCCACTACCCTCGTGACTTCCAACCGTACGTCTGGATTGTCCTCCAACCCCCCTGCCCAACCCTCATCTCCCCCCACATCCACCTTTTCGTCGTCCCCTTCCATTGCCACCGTGTCGTTTGAGGGACCGTCTGTGGTCACGCCAACGTCTTCTTCTCGTGTGCCAACGTCCGTGGTAGAATCGTCATCCGCAGTGTCCTCCCAGTCTACATCCACTACTAGGAGAACTACTACGACCGCCGACGGTATGTCATGTACCCTCGTTGCACTTTATGCGTCGATCGTTATTTGGCCTTGGTTGCTTTCTTTCCAGAGCTTAGGGTGTCAGTCCTGTGCAGGCCTATTATACACGCAGTGATGATGTTTCGGACGGGCGCGCTTCCATACTTTGATCTGAGCAATACGCTGACATGTGTCACAGAAACCACGACTCGTGGTGAGACGACCACCAGCACCACTCGTCGCCCCACATCATCGAGCGCAGTGGTGACGACCCGCACCTCGACCGAGGCCGATGGCGATATCACTCTCGTCACTGAAACCTCGTACGTTGGTGTTGATCCGACGCCGCAGGCCACCTCGGACTCCAACTCGGATGACGCCGATCTGCAGAACGCGGCACCTCGCATGAGCAGCAGCGCCCTCGCTCTTTTCGCCGCCTTGGCTGCCGGCATGATGCTTCTGTAAATTCGGAGAGGAAGCGCAGCTCGTCGAGCTTTTTGATTTACCGCGATCCCTCACTCGTGTGGCTAGGACATTCATTGTTCCGAAGGGCCCGCTGTGGAAGGGCCTCCAAAACCAACAATCGATGTATCAGCATGCATAATCGTCACGACTATCACGGCAGTTCACTCCTTTTGCATACATCAACCGGCGTAATCAACATAGTACAGATCGTTTTACATAGAACTGGCGCGAGGAGAGTAATCTCGTGTCTCGGGGCCGAACGGTATTTGAATTCGGAAGGGCTGGTATACGGGTTGCCCTGGGAGATAGAAGGTCACGGGAGAGAAGAGGCTTCAAATGAACAGTGACAGCCTTCAACTTGCTTTCCGATGTGACGTGATGACAAGGATGTGAGAAACTTGAGACACGCTGGAAAGGGTCATTTGATAGCTGTGTATTCTACCTAAACCCCGTAGCACGTGAAGTCAGGTGGTTCGCCTCGAAGAATATGTCAGGTTGCGTATTTTAGAACCTTCAGCTTGGTCCGGTATAAGCGATGTGACAGGCTCCAGCGCGCAGCCAATTTCACAGCGAATGAGACGCAGAGGACATGCGATTTCGCATAGCACGAGCGAGGAACACAGGCAGGTAGGTGTCGGCATTGCATTCCACCGACGGGTATCCCAATCCCTCCCCTACCAAAAAACGCCAGCCCAATTCAAACAAGCAAAGTCTTCCATTGTCTCGTGAGTGTCCGTCTAGCCCGGCCCGATCTTGGGCATGTCGTGATGCTCGCTCAACTTGGACAGGTACGTGTTCAGCTCCTCGACACGCTCCTTGTGCGTCTTCATTAGTTCTGGCCTTCCAGACTTCCCTGACATTTCGAGTAGCTGGAAGAAAGAAAGGGTCAGCATCGTGGCCAGTCTTGATACGGACGGGTTTCGGAGAAACAGACTCTCTTGCGCTTCCTCTCCTCGAACCGCCTCTCTGCTTCCGTCTTGCGACTCCCCGACCCTTCCTCGTGCGCCTCGGTATCTTCAGTGTGCTCGTCGTCGTCTTTCTTCCCCTTCTTCTTCTTCTCGTCGGCATTCTCCTCTTCGGTCGCGGGGTTGCGCCGTGCGACGGCTGTGGAGGACTCGCCGCCGGAGAGATTCTTCTCGAGGTCGGTCTTCTCCTTCTTCTTCTTTTTCGGCTTGCCGACCTTGGCGCCCTTCAGCTTGAGGCCACCGCCGCCGACTGAGGCGTAAAGGTCGGATGGCATGGCTGTGATGTGTTGGTTGGGAGGGCTCGATCGATACTGAGGGCACCCATCGGAGGTCGCATCAGTGCGAGGCTGATCCCGACGACAGGCTGAGCCTGTTGATGAAGGCGGTGGGTGACTAAGCAGGATACAGAATGCAGTGCGGGTGCGAGGCCAATCATGGGTTGATCCGAGCGGTGGGGCCGTGCGTGGGCGTGACGAGCGAAGCCGAGATGGAGGGAATGCGGGCGGCAGATGTGGAGAGACAGAGCACCACTCAACCATCATAACAGGCAAGGAAAGGACCAGGCAAGCCAGGCTAGGCCAGACCAGTACCAGTACCGGCTTCTGCATCTGCATCCCAGTCTGGACTTGAACGTCTGGTTGGTCCCCATTCCCCCCATTCCACTTCCCCATTGACGTTGTTGAGCACCACAAAGAGATTTCGATTATCACCATCACGAACCCGCCCCTTTTGCTTGTCCCATTAGTTTTGCTTCGTTGTATAACTCTTGTATCGAACTCGAGCACCCTTTGGGTACGGCCTGCCGACCACGTGCTTTTCGATATCCCGTGCATAGCCGATCTTGCGACACCCAGATCCCCTCGAACACGACACGACGTCACGAGCAAACCTCACGAACAGAAGAACATTGATTGCCTTGGCCCAGACACGACGACACAACGAACACGACCAAACCTTCGTCATCCTATCATCATTGAATCTAGCCTTTTGTCGACTGCTGAATCTCGAAATGCGATAAGCTGGGCGCGACCCCGAAGGACCTGAAGCCGCGCAAGGAACCGGCAAACCACCCCAAGACGACTCCCTTGCCATACTCCACGATGCCCTCCCAGTACTCCTCTTTCCAAGGCGGCCACGCCCGCGACTCTCTCGAGCTCGCGTCTCTCGCCTCTTCCTCACATGCCGCCGACACCGTCTCAGAAGGGGGCCTTCCCTCCTCTCGCGCCTCCCTGTCGTCGTCTCGAAAGCTCTCCTTTGAACAACGAAGACCCCTCGACGGCTCCATCCAGCAGCCGGTGGGCGCCATCGGGCATTCTCCGTCTCCTCCGCCTTCGATTTTGCTCCCAACCTTTTCCCTCTGAGTTCCACAGCGGGTGGTGCAGGATATGCGCCCATAGGGGGCGCCGCCATCTCTTCGACCGCCATGAACTCCAGCGGCGGCATGGGCGGCGGCACTCTCGAAAAGAACAAGACGCTGACATACATGAACGGACTCAGCCTCATCGTCGGCCTCATTATCGGATCCGGTATCTTCAGCAGTCCCAGCCAGGTCAGCGCCAGAGTGGGCTCACCTGGCGCGGCGCTGGTCGTGTGGGTGATTGCCGGTGTGCTGGCGTGGACGGGCGCGGCGAGCTACGCGGAGCTCGGTGGTGCTATTCCGTTGAACGGAGGGTCGCAGGTGTATCTCGCGAAGATCATGGGCGAGATTGCAGGTTTCCTGTTCACGTGGTGCGCGGTGCTCGTCTTGAAGCCAGGGAGCGCTGCCATCATATCCATCATCATGGGAGAGTACCTCGTGCGAGCGGTCATGGGTGCGGATGCGGCCGACATCAACCCTTGGGTAAACAAGTCGGTGGCGTTTGTCGCGGTGCTGACCGTCACATTTCTCAACTGCGTCTCGACCAAGTTAGGGACCAAGGTGAACGACTGGCTCATGTTTCTCAAGTTCGTCGCGTTGCTGGGCGTGACGGTCATTGGCATTGTCGTGGCCATCACGGGCTTCACCTTCAAGGGCGAAGCGAGCATGGACTGGAAGTCGGGCAACTGGTTTGCGGACACTTCATCGGACCTGTCCATGTGGGCCCTTGCGCTCTATGCGGGTCTGTGGGCGTATGACGGCTGGGACAACGTGAGTTGCCTCATTTCGTACCCTGTGTTCATGGTCCGTCTCTAACTCTTTTCACAGACCAACTACGTCGTCGGCGAGTTTCGCAACCCGTCTCGTGACCTGCCTCGCGTCATCCACACGGCGATGCCTCTTGTCATTCTGTCATACGTTCTCGCCAATGTCGCATACTTTCTCGTCCTGCCCATGGCGACCATCAACGCCTCCAACACGATTGCCGTCATGTTCGGCGCCCAAGTGTTCGGCCCCGTCGGCTCGCTGGTTCTTGCCCTCATTGTGTCGGCATCCTGTTTCGGCGCTCTCAACTCTTCGACCTTTACCTCCTCTCGTCTCGTCTACGCCGCCGGAAAGGAAGGGTACATTCCCTCCATCTTTGGCCGTCTCGGCCTGCGATCCGGGCCCGACCACTCGACGACTCAGACGACACATCTCTCGATGCAACGTTCTCGCGGCCGCGCCGCCTCGATTGCGCGCCGTCTCTTTGCGGACCCAGAAGTTGGCCTCTTCTACACGCCCATCCCGGCGCTGATGCTCAATGCCGCGCTGACAACGGCGTACATCCTGGTTGGCGAGTTTGGCACGCTCATCACGTTCTACGGCGTTGCCGGCTACACGTTCTACTTCCTCACGGTCTTGGGCCTCATCATCCTGCGCGTGCGCGAGCCGACACTTGAGCGGCCCTACCGCACGTGGATCACGACGCCCATCATCTTCTGCTGCGTGTCGCTGTTCCTCCTGTCGAGGGCCGTTTTTGCGCAGCCACTTCAGACACTGACTGTGATTCTCTTTGTGCTCGCCGGCGTGCCAGTATACTTCTGGCGCATCCGCGGGCGCGACCAGGTCGCCAAGCGCGAGAGAGCCGGAGGCTACGGCGACTTGGGCGGAAGCGAGAGACGGCCCTGGTGGCGGTTCTGGTGATGTTCGTGAGCATAGGAGAGGGGCGTAATGTTTTTGTTTCCTGTTTTCACCCCTCCTCCTCCTCCTCCCCGCTCACGCTTTGGTGTACAAAAAAAAA